ATAAGTTGCTCAGGCTGGCTTTGAACTTGCAATCCTCCTGCCTCAGCCTCCCAGGATTACATCATACACTACTGTGCCCAGCTTGCCTTGTATATTCTTATACAAATATTTCTACATTAACTGAAATCTCAGGCAATGCTGAATGGTAAATGGTTTCTCAATCTTTTGTCAGTGGAATCAGGGAAATTAACAATACATTCATTCATCAGAATTAGGTTTGTTTATATAAATACTAACAGCAATTACAGGAATGAAGCAAGCTGACCTTATACCTACTATTTTCCCACTATGACCAACATCCAGTGAAAGACACTTAGTAAATATTGCTTGAGGAGAAGGCATGAAACAGAAATTTTCCTTGGCTATATTGTTGAAAAAATACATGAATCATTTGCAGATCCTGTCCTCATACAGAGATCTGGTTCTTTGGTTTTTCAAGTGAAAAAAAAAAAGAAATATACTGTATAGTCTTGAAGGCAATTTTTCATGATTATAAGACATTATTATACTTATTTTTTCATTGTATATTATTCAACTCATAGACAATGTTCAACAGATTTCTTCAGTTCCTGTGTATGTACAAGTTCTAAATGTCAATGATCACGCTCCTGAGTTCTCTGAATACTATGACTTATGTGTGTGAAAATGCAGACTCTGGTCAGGTAAGAAAGTTTCCTAAATTATCGAAGTCTGAGTAACACATGACTGTTTTATATACTATACATAATGACTATATCACATATAATACTAATATTCATATGATATTATATATATATATATAAAATACTATAGTGATTCTATATTTCACATATTAGACATAATTAATATTTTATATGTTGTACATAGATTTTGTTATATACTTATCCCACTTTGAAATGTTCTCATAGACACTTTAATTATCTTAATTACATGTTTCTGTTTTGTGTTAAACATAATAGTATATGTTTCTTTTTATTTAAAAAAATTCTAAAAACAAAGATTATTTTATTTTAAAAATTTCTAAAGACACTCTGTAGGGCACTCTGTATGATACATACCATAGCTTGTTTTCCAAATGGCCCCTAATTCCCAAAAATTTTATAGTCTTATTTTCAGAAATACAGAAATCAATATATTCTAAATGACATTAAATTTCTCAATGAAGCGAATTGGATACCGTTTGTATTTTACAAAAGCAGGAATTACATTTTTTACCAATCAGGAGTAGTAACCAACCTTATGTTTTACTTTTAATTTTCTAATACAGTAGCAGATAGGAATATCTTAAGACATAGGTACATCATAATTGTTATTCATTTTTCAACCATAAGATACTGGAAATTGTCTATGGTTTTTAAACTGTTAAGTGAACTATGTTCAATTATGTTTATGCTTGAACCATTTTATACTGAAAATCTGAAATCTTATAATTTTAAGCATATATTTTTTTAAAATGCATGATTATAAATATGCAAATAATCTTTTAAATTTATTCATTTTTATGGGTTAAAAACCATAGTTTTTGAGAAAGTGGAAGATATAAAAGTTCTGAGTTTCTCCCTTGTGCTATACTGCCCAGAAATATAAAATTTAAGAAATTTAGAATCAGGGACATATGTGTAGACTGGTAGAGATCATTAAAATAAAATAAGAAAAGAATGCAAATGTACTGGAACTCACAATTCCCAAGGAAACTAGGCTTACATAATTTTTAGAAAGTTTATAAGTGGATTATTTCACTTGTAATTTATATGCCATACATAAATTTTGATGTTTTCAAACATTTTAAACACGTCTGATTTCTTGAACAGAAAGACAAATATATTAATGAACTTCGAAAAATCACTTTAACTATTTTACATCTAATTAATGATTCTTTAAATATAGTAAGTCTGTTTCCTCAAAATTTAAATAATTTGAAAATAATCAACATATCTTGCAATTTTCTAATCAATACATATTAAATTTATGCACTGAACATAAATCATATTTTACAATGATTGTAAGTATAATTAAATTTTAAAGTTACATATTTCAACTTTCTAATTACAAATTTTAATTGAAAAAATTATTTTTAATTGGTACCTAAAACATTAAAAATGTGCTTTTTTTATTATTCTCTAATATATTTTATTTGTTTTTAATATGTGTTTTTAATATATTTTCCCAATAACATTAAGAATAAAAGAGTATCTATTAACTATTTTGAAATACTAGAGCATGTTTTAAAGGCAACTTTTTGTAGTTTACATGCTGGTAGTTTGGTGGTCTGTGTCTTTTTTTATTATTATTATTAATTTATTTATTTATTTTAGTTAGGTATATATGACAGTAGAATGCATTTTGATTCATTGTACAAAAATGTGCTTATTAATTCATATCACATTATGCTTCAATTAGATTAAACACATATGTCTTAAAACATTTATTATTTCTTCATGATGAAAATGACAAGATTTTTTTCTAGTTTTTTGAAATATGCAGTATGTTAGGATTTTAAAATATATAACTCATATGGCAATAATTTCATAATAGCTGTGAATGTATTTAAATTGTCACCTTTATAAGAAAAACTATTTCTAAAAATTTTAAAAAGTGGTTTAATATACTTCATTTTTCTATATAACTATGATGCCCCAGGTGGCAAGTCATTTACCAAGTAAGTCTGCATTTTCAGTGCTTTCAGCTGAGCCAAGATCACAGAGCAGAAGACTTGGGAAGACAGCACAACTTACACATTGGAAGCTTGGAGTCTAGGCCAGAGTATTAGATTTGGCTGATAAATATTTGTTGACTAAAGATAGGTGATTCTAACGAACACACTGTATTTTTTATTATAACTCAACTATTGTTGTTTACAATAAAATTATAAATAGCTATGTTAATAGTAACCCTTTTTACTTTTGCACCATGTGTAAATGAGAAATATACATTTGATAGATTGGGTTTTCCTTTTTCATTGCATTGGAGTTCATGTGTAGCTCTACCACCTGAGTGGATGACACATTCTTTTCCAAGATTCTGGTTCATAAGCTACAACTCAGAAGTCAGTGTATTTATAAAAATAGGAGTAATCACATTTTTTTGAGAATGGGGGTACCACTTAGTGACAGTGACATCATGTTCATAGGTGGCTTTGGGCCATAGACTGAAGTGAATATCCCACTTATGTTTAGCAAAACAGAATGGCTCAAGATACTTTGTAATGAAATTCTTCTTGTTTAATGACTTATAGGATGATCACTAAATTTTATCTTATCCATATAATTATACTGTTTAACTCAGAATAATTATATGGATAAGATACAATTTTTAATTTGAGAAAAGTTAAATGGTATAACTTCACCTGAAGTCTCATAATCTGCATCTTTGCTTTCATGGTAAACTTTACC